AGAATAGCACAGTAGGGATACGTAATGGAAATGGAAGAGTGGGGCTAATGTTTGTCCCGAAGCTCGATCCATGAGGACCGTACGTGAAGAGGGAGGGTGTAGGAGGAGAGTTTCGGTGGCTCCCGTCCAGGCACAAAGCTCCCTCTCAGTCCCCCCCCGAATCCATGAGGGCACCCGGTTTCACCAACCGAGAACTCACAAGGGTGAAGGGACAGGATGCTTCAGGTTATCCAACAAGTAGTTATAAACGTGGATCCGACCCGCACGTGCAGGGTGATGGGATACGAGTTGGGAGGGTAAAGCAGACAGGGGGTGTAAACCTGCCGACTTGCTCCCCGAAGACCACTCGTGAAGAGGCACCACGGGGGAAAAGATAGATGGGGAACCCTGTCGAATCCAGCCGTATTTCGCCTCTCAGTCCCCGCCGTGATCCTGGGACGACGGAAAACTCTTCCCTAAGAGCCAGTACCCTCCACAGGGATCACGGTGTCAAAAATCACAGGATCCGCGGAGAACAACGGACCGGGTGGGTTCCGGGAGGTAGCTCGGGGGTGGCGAGGGCCCGGAACCCGAGGACCGTCCGTGAAGGGGGTAGGCAGAAGTATTTGTCCAAGGACGGGACAAATGGGCCTAAATTCCCCCTTCGTTCTCGAACTAGAATAAGATAGGAATCGGGGAGTCCGATCGCGGACGTTGGCACGGGCGTGTGTACACCGAACACACATCCAAACCCGTGGCGGCGTTCCGTGGGCAAAGGACACCGATACCGAATAGCATGCGGGATAGCGGTCAAGGACGCGTGGTCACAGACTGGACCGGGTGGATCTTCGATAAGATGCTACCGGAACAGAGGTAAGAGATACAGACTCCAGGAGCGCTCATTCGGGCCCGAGGGAAGGGGGGCGAAGGCCGTTCCAGGCACTAAACCCTTCGGGGGCCTGGTCGTGCCACCTTAAGTAGAATATAACGCGTAGGGGCCCGAATGCGATTCCGGACAGCGGGGCGTATACTGGCGAACCGAGTCCCGGAAGCATGAAGAGCATGTCTTGGCGGGACAACGGCCCAACGAGCCCCGCGGTCATCGTATTCCGGAAGGCAGTTCTCACGAACGAAGCGCCGGACGTAAGGTATGGCATTACCAAAAATAGGCCCCACGTGCCGGTAAACATTCGTGACCCCGGAACACATATGTCGACGGGTCACGGGGGCGTTTGGCACACGCTGCAACGATCCGTGGTACGCCGGAGGGAGAGAGCGTCGACCATTAGGGAGGGGCGAGATCTCCGACCCAGAACGCGGACGATGGTCCCTGATGAAACTGATATTTCCTCTTCGGAGAAATTTCGGCGAAGTCCGGTGGGCTACCGTTCGCGTCGCGTTCCTTGTAAACTCTAGGGTGGGGGGGGGGCGCGATCTACTCTACCTCGTTTTTCCATTCTATTAAATTCACATACCCAGCTATAGATTTAGACTAGATTCATACTGGCGGTGGATTCATTGATGGTCCACGGCGGCTCCCAGGGGAGGTGATCGCCGAACCCGACCACGTCTCTCCTTGAGGCCGGCTAGAACGGCCTCCCCATGTATCTCTGTTGGAGTTCCGGGACTCCCTCCCTGTCCTTGTGGGGGGTGGTAGATTTGTGAGGAGTACCAGAGGAGGGGGGGCTCCTGAAATATTCGGGACATAGGCAGGTAGAAAATAGGGGGTTGAAACAGGCGACACAGCTCTCTCTCGATGATGGAACGTACGCAAGCACGATGATTCCACCCGTGGTACAGACTCGGTCTGTGGGTGAAGCAAAGAGTGAGCCGGTACTCACTTTGGAGACGAAGGATCGGTTGCCCCGACGACCATATTCCATAGCCATTTACTTAGGTAGGGCAGGGACGATCCTAATGACTCTCCGCCCCCCGGGCGAGTACTTCCTCGCCTCCATGTGGCCCGGGCCTAAAAAAGTTGGTCGGGTTGGAAAACCGGGGGAAACAATCGCTTCGGGTAATGCCCACGGGAGTCCCCCTGCTAACGTGGCGGGGGCTGTGTGATAGCTACCGGCGCTTTGAGCCACAGCTGGGCCTTGGGGGGGAAATCACACTTCCCCTCTCCCGGGAGAAACGTACTACTACTACTACTACTACTACCCCCACTTTACGTCCACCGTGCTGGCACACACCTTTTTGTTTTTTTTTTCCGCGGGGGAAATGCATTATGCACACCTCGGAGTCCTGGGGTGGGACTCCGAGGTAGTGTAGGACTCTCACCCACTGAAACCCCCGCGGCAGCCTTCTCGGGCGGAACTCGGCGGTGGCAGGATCTCGTATGAACGCACCGCTACCGCCGCGCCTGTGCTCCCCTTATCGGAGAGCCCGTTCCGTGGGGACGATCGAACGCCCCCCAGAGGTGACCCATACCGATACCGATACCGATACGGGGGGGGGACTCGCCCCCCGCCGGCGCCGTCGGGGCCGGCTGTGCGGGCCCCACGGCCCCGCCCACGAACCCACCTCGCTCTCCTCCTCTCTCGACGAGCGGGATCGCGCGCCTCACGGTCCCGCTCGTCGTCCTCCTTCCGCGAGACGACGGTCTCGCAGAAGGAGGACACCGCCCTCCACGACCTCTCGCTCCCCACCATGGCCGCAACCACGGCCGGGAGCGAGAGGTCTCCCCCTATCTCTAAACGGAGTGCCCGCTTTTCCCTGGCAAAGGCCGGGCACTCCTCCAAAACGTGCTGCGCGGAGTCAACCTCCGCGCTGCACTGGTGGCATTCTGCCGTCGTCTCGGCTCCAACCCTCTGCAGGTACCCCCCGAAGCATTCGTGCCCGGTGAGCACCTGCGTGAGCCGGTAGGATAGCCTGCCGTGCCGACGGTCCAGCCATCCATCAAGGACGGGCAGGACCGCGCCCACGGCTCGCTGCCGGGCGGCGCCGCTGTCATACAGCTGGCGCCGCCACTTTTCGCGAGCGAGCCGCCGGCCCTGGCGCTTCATCACCTCGACCGCGTCGTCCGGCGGGTCGACCCCGTTCCGGCGGAGGCCCTGCAGACACCGATACAGATCGGCGTCAGCCTCCGCCTGGAAATCAAATGGCACGACCCCCGCCAGGACGGCCGCCGCCTCGTAGGAGATGGTGCGGTACCCCCTCGTGATCCTGATGGCCATGGGGCGCTGAATGCGCCGCAGTAGCTGCCGGCACCGCCGGCCGGCCATCAGGTCGCGGGCCCACACGGGTGACACGTATAGGGCCATCGCCCGCACCACCACCATGTAGAGGCGGCGTACCCTCTCCTCCGCCCCCCCGAGGTTGGGCATCAGCCGACCCAACAGGGTCGCCACGCCCTCAATCCGAGGGACCAGGCGGTCGAAGTGTCCCTCGAAGCGCCAGCGGCTGTCCAGGTCGAGGCCGAGGTACTTAATTCGGCCCTCGACCCGGACACAGGCATCTCCTACACGGACCCAGGCCTGGGGGACCCGCCGCGACAGAAGTAGTCCATGAAACATGACCACCTCCGTCTTTGGCGGCGAGATCTGTAACCCCAGGTCCCGGATCCGGGCGACG